AATACAATGTCGTTGATTGTAAAATGACAATCGAATCATTTGAGAAATTCCTCAAGTCAATTAATATCAAACCCTTCAAACGAAATAGTGTCAAAAATTGGATCACTATAAACAAACACATCACATTCAAAGCCCATTGTCACAATACCTATGTAGAAATCACATATGAATGTTACTGTGCATGAGAGTCATAGCATCATGTGGCAAATAGTCAGAATTACCAATCGATAGTAAAGTCGATTAGTAATTCTGACAACTCAAAACCCCAAACCGAGAACCTAAAATAAATAAATCATAAATCCTGTATTTAAATATGTAACTGACAGATAGATTTTATTAAATAAAAGATAATTTACACATTTCTTATATTTTACATAGGTTTGACTAATTCACATATTTCTTGAGGTATTTTATCTAATTCATTCCTAAGCGACATCATTTTAACCATAACATTACATGGTGCCAAAACCTTCTCTGGTATTTTATTAAGTATTTCATCTGGAAAAATTTTTTCTTCCTTACCACAAACATTTTTATACATTTTCTTTATTTGGTATCTAGTGCAATACGAAAGATGAAGATGCACATCCATTCTTCCCAATCTTATACATGCCTCATCAAGATGATCCTTATGATTAGTTGTCATTATTATTATGGTTCCATCAGCCAATGACTGGCCGTCCAAACAACTCAGAAAATTCGACAAACTTATTGTCGATAATAAGTCCTTAAGTTTCAATGATCCCTTGTCCATTTCATCATCAATACTCCCACTTACAAAAGAATCTCCAAAGAGATTGAAATTTTGACTTCTTTTATTCAACACACTCGATTGTGCATCAACATCTTCCAACACAATAATTTGGTTACTAGGAACAGATGTGAACACAGCACTCATTTCATTATCATTTTTTATCTCTTTAAGATTTATATAATATAGGTCACGATTCGTATATGACGAAATTGCATTTACAAGGCTGCTTTTACCAGTTCCTGGGTCACCATACATCAATATCCCTAATTTATACGTCATCCCAACATTTCTATAGGATACTTTACCGTTAATAAATGAGTCTATTTCTTCTTTTATTCTCTTTTCTTGGTCCATATCCAATACCACTGACTCCAATCCATTAATATCGGCCAACGTATGTACTCTATACCAACGACCTTCGTTATGTTTATATTTAGTTCTTTTATGACATGCTTTTAATCTGTCTTCATATGCTGTGGTGACTTCTGTTATGAATCTGTTTATAGTTCTAACGTTAACCTTATCACCTCCAGAGTCTACTAATGATACATATATGGATGGCATTGGATCTGGTTTATGAAGATAGTACGAATAAGGTCTTGGTGAGTTGTTATTACTATTATTCTCTTTATCACTTTCAGGAAGCTTGTACATTATCTTGAACTTTTGTTTTCCAAATATAATATCAATTTCTTGTTTGTTTTCTGGTATTGTGTTATAACCGCTTATATTCTCAATTTCATCATTTTTCTTACTGGTATTTTGAATGATGAACGAGCCCTTCTCCAAAGCCTCGGTCTGTTGTGACACCAACCACGAGATCGCTTCATGTTGCCTATTCCTATCAAAAGTACTGTATACGCCTTTCACATAATATTCAATTTGTATTGTTAACTTTTCCTCCGA